GACTTACATGGTAACTCATGGTCTACGGCGGCTGCTGGAGCTTTGGCCGCCTTGCTCACATTCTAGGTAGTAGAAAGAAAAAAGTGGGGTGCACAAAAGCTCTACTTAACACGTTCTGCAAGGGAAACCCAGAAATTTGACTTACCAGCTGGACATATGGCCCAGTGTCCCATTAGTAGGGAAGAAAAGGAGGTGGATTTTTGACTAGACACCTGGGTGTTTCTGCCATAAACAACTTTTTGGTAAGAGTGGTGGATAAAACCATTATTGGTCCTATTAGGGTGACTCTAAGTGGTAAACAGGGTGCTATGGCAGGAGTCACCTGCCCCACCCCCAGGCCCGGGGATTGAAAAGCTGGAGACCTTATCCCACAGGCATTTCTGTGGGGTTAGGGCACTGTCTGTCTTTTATTGATCTTGTGAGTCTGACCACATAGAGATCAACAGACCAATTTCCTCCCTCTTAGTATTTTCTTGCCTTCCTAACCACATCTCTTCACCTGCCACCCCTCTGCTCCCAGACACCATCTGCTAGAAACACCAGGCCTTCCGCTTACAGCTCCCCTGTTTTTGCTTGGCCCCCAAAGGTTGTGCTGCCCAGCACTTTTCAGGCTAAGGCTACACGACCAATTCCCTTCATCCTTCTAGATTCCAGGACCCCAAGATGGAGAGAAGGAAGATATTGCTTGTAAACCCTGGCTGGGAGAAAAGTGTAAGAGAAGCAGAGTTCCTGGGATGTTGTTTTAGTTGCTTTTGTGTCACTGTGACCCTGATACCTGACAAAAACAACTTAAAGGAGGAAAGATTTATTTTGGCACATGGTTTCAGTCTATCATGATGGGGAAATCATGGCAGAACAGCTCAGCTCATGGCAGGAGGAATGTGTGGCAGAGGCTGTTCACATCATAGTAGACCAGGAAAATGTAGAATGCGACAGGAACCAAGGGTCTGTATAAGTGTCAGAGGTCCAGTACCACAGCCTACTTCCTCCAGTTAAGCCCCATCCCCCACCTCAAAGTTTCCAGAACCTCTTAAAACACCAGCTGGAGAACAAGTATTCAAAACATGAGCTTGTGTGGGACATTTCCTACACAAACCATAACATATATTATGCCTGGGCAGCTGGAGATCAGATTCTCAAACTGTCTTTGATTCTAGTAGTAAGTTGCTAATAGTAAACTAGAGGACAGTCTCCTTTAGGGGTTGTGATGATGAGGCAGGGTGCTGCTCCCTCTTCATATTAACCCTGTCAACTCCAGGAAATCTTGCTGTTTGTCTTGTAAGTGGAAACCTAGTTCAAATGTTTTTGCCTTACACATGGCCAGCTACCTCTCAGCATCCTCACATAGTAATGCCATCAAGGGTGGCTAATGCCAGTCCTTCCTGGATGACAGAGTGGTGGTGTTCCTGTACCCTGGGTCTTTGTAGTCAGGCTGCTCTGTGCAGAATGGTCCTCTATTTGCAGCTTTAAGAAAGACAGGAGGGGGCTGAAGAGATGGCTCAGCAGTTAAGAGCACTGGCTGCTCTTGCAAAGACTCAGGTTTGGTTCCCAGCATCTACATCGTGGCCAACAACCATCTGTAACTGATGCCCATCTGAATCTGATGTCCTCTTCTGGCCTCTGTGGGCATCACATGGTGTACTTACATCCATGCAGGCAAAACACTCATACACATAAAATAAAAATAAATGAAAGTTAAGATAAAAGAAAGAAAAGAAGCCTAGATGGGCAAGCACAGCTTAGCTGTGAAGGGCCTTGATGCTTGGGCAAGGAGCTTGATCTTGAATATGTCTGCTTGCTATTTACCATGACCTGTACCATTCTTTGCCCACGTGGGGTATATTAGTTACTTTTCTTGTTGCTATCACAAAATACTTGACAAAAACAAGTTAAGAGAGGAAAGGTTTATTTTGGCTCACTGTTTGAGGGTGCAGCCTATATGGTAGGAAAGCTTGGCGACAGGCGCCTGAGGCAGCTGGTCACTTTGCATCCACAGTCAGGAAGCAAAGAGATGTACACATTGCTGCTCAGCTCACTTTCTCCTCTTATTTAGCCCAGGACCTCAGCCCATAGACTAGTGCCACCCACATTCCAGTTGGGTCTTCCCTCCCCCCAATTAAACCTTTTTAAAAACACTCTCATGGGGGCTGGAGAGACGGCTCAGCAGTTAAGAGCACTGACTGCTCTTGCAGAGGACCCGGGTTCGATTCCCAGCACCTACACGGTGGCTACGAACCATCCTTATCTCCAGTTCCAGGGGAATCCAAAGCCCTCTTCTGACCTCTGTGGCATTGCACAATATGGGTGCACTCACATACATGCAGGTGATACACTCATACACATAAAATAAATAATAAAAAATATTAAAAACACTTGGGAGACTGAGGCAGGAGATTGCCATGAACTCAAGGCCAGTCAGGAGATTTGGGACCTTGCCTCAAACACACACACACACACACACACACACACATACACACACACACAAAAAAACCCACTCATGATATACCCAGAAGTGTGTTTCCATGGTGAGTCTAAATCCAGTCAAGTTGACAGTAATGACTGATTGCCACATGGGGTGATTCCTCTTGATTCCTACTTGCTAGGACCTGACCTAGGAACAGCTCAGGCAAGTTTTTTTTTTTGTTACAGCCCTTGCAGTCTTAGCCTAAGAAACAATCTCAGAGTTAGTCTCACTGTTGAGGTGACCAAGTGTAGGAGTCAGCTTTCTATCCCTATAACAAGATAACTGAGATGATTAACTTGTAAAGAGAAAGGGTTTATTTTGTTTGGCCTCCAGTTTTGGAAGCACCAGTCCGTGATTGATTGGTCTCCCATCCGTCTGGGCCCATGATAAAGCAGCACGTCTTGGCCTTGGTGGAGCAAGCTGCTTATGCCACCACCAGGAGGCAGAAGAGAAGAAGGAGTAGGAACTGGGAGCTCACAATCTGCTTTGAAGCCGACAAACCTTCAGTGAGCTGAAGACCTCCCACCAGGCCCCACTTCTTAAAGATTCCACCATCTCCCCAAATGTCATGAGCTGAGCCTTAGCACCTGGGCCTTTGAAGACACTTAAGATGCAAACTACAGAGACTGGAAAGATGGTTTAGTGGTTAAGAGTACTGGCTGCAGAGGACTGGAGTTTGGTTCCCAGCATCTACATGGTGGTTAACAACCATCTCTACCTCCAGTTCCAGGGGTTCTGACACTCTCTTCTGGCCTTCATGGGCATTACCCAACATGGGTACACTTACAAACGGGCAGGCAAAACACTCATACACATAACAATAAAAATAAATAAATTTTTAAATTTTTTTTTAAAAATACAAGCTACAGCACACAGGGAGAGGTCAAAGGGAGAGAGGCTCCCTGCTGCAGGCAAGCTGGCTAACTAGATTAGTAAGATTAGAAAGCTCTGGGTTCAAAGTAGAGTGCAATTGAGAAAGACACCCTATGTCAACCTCTGGCCTCCACAAGCATGCACATACATTGCTTGCACACCTGTACATACACGTGGGCCCACACACATGAAAACATACATATGCCATGTGGCCCCCAAACCCCACCAAACATCAGCATTAACAACGTTAAATTGGGCTAGAGATGTAGCTCGGTGGTAGGATGCTTGCCTAGCATATGCAATGCCCTGAGTTCCACTCAGGCCACACACACACACACACACACACACACACACACACACACACACACACACACACACAAATTAAGTAAAAAAGAGAAATAAGGTTAACGGAAGATTTCTTTGTGTGTACTGTGGTCAGGGAGACTGAGGTCAGAGTATCTGGCCTTGCGGGTGAGTGGTGAATTTGTCGTTGCAATGTATGTAAGTGGCCACTAGATGGCATCCAAGTCCTGAGACTAAGGGACTCTGCTAGCAAAGCTTCTAATCCTATGACAATTACAGAAACCAAACATCATACAAAAGACTAACAATTAAAGCAATTGGATCCCAAGTTAGAAGAGCATGAATTGGTAATTTTCTCCCATTTACTGAACAAAAGTCACGGCCTTTGTGTTTACAGCTTTCTTGGCTTTCCTGCATCCAAGGGGAATTCCCACTAGCTCCCCAAACCCAGTCCCAGCCAGTGCGGGGAGGAGGGGTGTGGAACACGACACAACTACACAGGGACTTCCTTGTTAACTATTTCAGAGCTTTGTTTCCTCTCAGGGTGTTTGAAATCACAGGAGAGGAGGGGGAGCAGGCTGTGACAGGGACTAGACTACAGACGGTTCAGAGAAAGCTGGCACTAGGCAAGACCCAGGTCCCCAAGGCAGCATGGAAGCCAGGCAGAGAAGAGGAGGCTGGATTCTGAGGCTGAGCATGGGGGCTGAGGGTGTCTGGCTCAAGCCCCTCCTCCACTGCAGGAAGACACCAAACGCTAAAGACATGGACTAGGGGGCAGGAACTACTTGGCAGATCCTGGGCCTGAGTTCTCTCTCCCAAGAGGTCTGCCCGCCCCCCAGACCCTAAAGTCCAGGCTAGTGGATCCCAAGTGGCCTGGAACTCAGCTGTGACCAGCCACAGAGCCCTCTTCTCTAGCTTTCTCTCCAAGACGAGTGAAGGCCCAGGGGACCTACCTTCCAAGGCCATTGGGAAGAGCCAGAACAGAACATGAGGGTTCCAACCTTGCTTCGCTTTATTTCTTGCTGGCCTGTCCATAGTCTGGGGACAGGGTCTGGATAGAGTAGTCAAGAAGACAGTCAGAGAGGCAGAGGAACTGCCAAGGAGAGAGAGGCTCAGGAAGGCTTTGGTATAGAGGCTGAAGTCATAGGGTGGAGGATTATAGGTGAAGTGACCTGATTCACAGAAGCAAAGCACCACGCATCCGAGGGCCAAATAGCAGCTGTCCTCCACAGGCTTCTCTGGAGCCTCGTGGGGCACTCCCAGCATGACTGTCCGGAGACTGGCTTGTGGTGAGACCCAAGGCAAGGGTATCAAGGAGGTAAGCCCACCCACCCTCTTCTTCTGTGTTGTTGGCCTGCAGGGATCTCCTACCAGCGGCTGGTGAGGGCTGAGCAGGGCCTGCCCATCAGGAGACACCGAAGTTCTACAATGTGAGTGTTCTTGGGGGAGGATGAACAAGGTCTTTAGTAGAGAAATCAAGCAAGACAGCCAGGGCAGGGGCTCGGTTAGCCTTGTCCTGTGTGCAGTGGAGCTCAGCACAGGTCTGTGAACAGCAAGGGGCTGGGGCTAGTCAGGCACTGTTATTAAGAGCCCACCTTCTTTTTCTCTTGAATAGAGAAATCACAAACAGTGTCTCTGATTGATGGGGACGGTCCTGCCTTTGTGCCCTGACTCACCCCTTTTCCTCTGGGACAGACACCTGCCCAGCCTGGTAGGAACATTGCCTGCTTGGTGCTTCTTTGCCCTGGAATTTGATGTGAGTGAACAAAGGGTCAGGCAGTTCTGGCTGCAGTCCCCTGTGAACCAAGTAACTGCAGTGTAGGGGATTAGCTCAGAGAAATGAGCAGGCCAATGGCTGTCAGTATTTCAGGGGCCATTAGTCTCTTAAGATTTGGGTGTGTTCACAAGTTTCCATAATAAAGAAATTTGAACATTGACACCCCAGAAAGGCAGTTGGGGGAGACCCCAGATGTCCTGCCAAGAGGTGGAGGAGGCCTAGCACACACTTCCTCCAGCCTAATGCCACAAGCCTGATACCTTTGGGTTAATTTGAAAAGGTGTCCCCAGGAGTGGAGGCAGGCCTGACTTGACACCCTTTCCTCTGGGCATTTGCCAACCCCAGGCCATGCTGCACAACAGCGTGTGGCTCCCCTGCTCCTCCTTCTCCCTGAAAAAAGGCCTCTGGACTTGAAGTCTTCTTGACTAACAGCCATCCTTTTTTGAGTCATTTGTATTCACTCAGATCTCCCATAGGAAAAAGGTGATTGTATAAAAATTAAGGTAGCACTCAGGAGACTGGGACAAGAGAATTGTGAGTTTGAGGCCACACTGTCTCATAATGTGAGATGTATAACGTGACCCTGTCTCAAAATAAAAATTAATGTAAAACTTACGGTAAAGCGTCAGTTTCAGGGGACTGGAGAGATGGTTCAGTTGTTAAGAGCACTGGCTGCTCTTGCAGAGGCTGAGTTCCCAGCATCCATGCGGCAGCTCACAACCATCTGTAACTCCAGTTCTAAGGGGTCTAATGCCCTCTTCTGGCCTCCGTGGGCAATGTATAACATGGGTACACTTATATACATGCAGGAATAAAGTTACACACATAGAATAAAAATAATCAAAAAAACTTTTTTTTTGTCTTTTTGAGACAGGGTCTCCCCATTGCCCCAGCTGTCCTGGAACTCACTATGTAGACCAGGCTGGCCTTGAACTCACAGAGATCTGCCTGCCTCTGCCTCCTGAGTGCTGGGATTAAAGGCGTGCACCACCACGCCCAGTAAAAAAACATTTTTTAAAAAGTCAGTTTCAGGTTTTTGTTGTTTGTTTTTGTTTTGTTTTTGAGGGAGGGTCTCATGTATCCCAGGCTAGTCTTGAAATAGGTACCGAGCCAAGGATGACCTTGAACTTCTGATCCTTTTGCTTCTATCTTACAAGTGCTAAGATTATAGGCATGTACCACCATACCAGGTTTATGCAATGCTAGGGATCTAACTCAGGCCTTCATGCATGCTAAGCAGTCACTCTGTCAACTGAGCTATCCCCAGCTCCTCAAAGTTCAGCTTTTTTATTACTATTTTTATTTTATGTGTGTAAGTGTATTATCTGCATGTATGTAAGTGCACCCATGTTGTGCAGTGCCCACGGAGGTCAGAAGAGAAGACCAGATTTCCTGGAACTGGAGTTACTGATGGCTGTTAGCTGCCATGTGGGGGCTGGGAACTGAACCTGGTTCCTCTGCAAGAGCAGCCAGGGCTCTTAACCATCTCTCTAGCTCCAAGTTCAGTTTTTAAAGATTTATTTTAATTTTATGTATATGAATGTTCTGCCTACATGTATATATGTGCACCTCATGTGTGCATGGTGATCAAGGAGGCCGAAAGAGGGCATCAGATCCCCTGGAACTGAAGTTACAGACAGTTGTAAGCTGCCATGTGGGTGCTGGGAATCGAACCTGAGTCCTCTGCAAGAGCAGAAAGTTTCTCTGAACTACTGAGCCATTTCTCCAGCACCTCAAGTTCAGTTTTGAAAGAGTCTTTGAAAGTTTACCTGCAAAATACACCAGCGTAATCATAATCATGGAAATGGGACTCTGACCCCCAACCTTTTCCCAGCCTGCTGCTGTCACTTGTCCAGTCCTGCTGGGCTGTGAAGAGGCCCAGACCTCAAAGAGCTGATCCCACTGGCATAGGGGTGGGATGTGACTATACCATGGCCTGTCTTCTGTGTCTCCAGCACTGTGTTGTTGCTGAACCCAGTGGAGGTACAGGCAGAATTTCTCGCTGTGGCAGACAAGTTGAGCACTCCTGGACAGTCACCCCACAGTGCCTACACCACCCTGCTCCTGCATGCCTTCCAGGCCACTTTTGGGGCCCACTGTGACCTCCCCAGCCTGCACCATAGGCTTCAGGTATGGACTGGGGACTTGAGCTATGAAGTACTTTGCTGTAGATGCATAGCCCTCTTCTTGCTGAATCTGGGCCTTGGTCTTTGAGTACACTGGCCTCCCTCACCCCAAGTGCCACTGCTAGGCATTGGCTGCAGGGCTGGCCCTGATGTGCTGGGTCCTTGCCAGAGTGTGGCTATACCCTGGGCACTGGGCTGGGTACTGATGCCTGGTGTTCCAGAAGACAGCTTGTGCCAGGGGAACATGGATAAGATTTGTTTGGATGAAGGCCCAGCCTCTTGTCCTAGCTCTGTGACCAGTCAGCTGTGTCACATGGACACTTCTTCCCTACCCTGGGATGCAGTGAGGGGTGTAAAGTCTCTCCCATTCTGCAGTGCTCTCTCTGGGCCTTTTTATCCTGACCTTTTCCTGAGGGTAGAAGGGAGGTGGGGTAGGGGGAGACCCAGCTCCCCAGCTACCAATGGGCACAGTGGGTGGGGAGGCTGGAAGCCACTTTCTTGCTGCTGCCCTTGGTCAGACCCTGGGAACTGGAAAAGGCAGGTGTCCAGGCCATGGGTCAGGAGCACACCTTGTCTCCTCTTGGCCTTTCAGTCCAAGACACTGGAAGAGCTTGAAAACATCTTCACAGAGACGACAGAAGCCCAGGAACTGGCATCTGGCATCGGGGATGTTGCAGAGGCCCGGCAGTGGCTTCGGACCAAGCTGCAAGCAGTGGGAGAAAAAGCGGGCTTCCCTGGGGTCTTAGGTGAGGGTCTGGGGGAGAATGACTCCACCACTCCCCCATCATTTATTTTGGCTCCCAAGGTGTGCCTGGCAGCAGGCCTGGTGGCACTGTTCCTCTCAATCTTCCAGTGACCAGGTTCCTCAGCATTTGGGTGATCCTCCAGTCAGTCCTCAGTCAGAGTTCCTGTCTGCAGGTGCAGGGCTGAGTGACGTGGGGCTGAGTTAAGATTGCAGAAGCTGTGCTGGCCACTGCTGTGCATAGTCCTTGATCCCACTTATGTCACATGGTCACATCTTGCTCCAAGGGAGGCTAGAAATGCCCTCTGCAACTCTTTTATTATAGAGTCAGGGAGCACAGATTCTGAGCATCGTTTAGCAACTCCAGTTACCATATTCCTCATACAGACTTAAGAAGCCTGACATGGTGACACACACCTGCAATTCTAGCACATGGGACTCTATGGCAGGGGGATTTTGAATTTGAGGCCAGTCACATAGTGAGATCTTGTCTCGAAACAAACAAAAAAGAAAACAAACCTTTTAAGATATTTCTATTTTTTTTCCCTTGTTGACATAGTAAAATGAGGCCGAGGCTGGGACTTGTCCACACCCACATAGCTAGTTAAGGGTCTGCCATCTTACACAGCACTTTAAAGAAAGGCTGTGCAGCTAAGAGCCTGACATCCTAGCGCTCACTCCGCCTCAGCCTATCTAGCTCTGTGACCTCCTGCCTGTCCACTCCCAACTCTGGCCTCTTCTGTAAGGACAAGCAGGGGACTGGACTGGGCATTCTGCAAGGCCTCTTCCCAGCCCCCTCTTCCTGCCCTCCCTGTTCTTATAGACACTGCAAAACCTGGGAAACTCCACACAATCCCCATCCCTGTCGCCAGGTGCTACACCTACAGCTGGAACCAGGACAGCTTTGGTAAGGAGTTCCTGGGGCCAGGGCACCTGCCCCACTCTGCCAACTTCTGTTGGCACCTGTGAATGCCTTATACTCCTTTGGACCCTCCCACTACACAGGTCCTAAGTCTAGTGGGGGAAGCACTATAGCCCTGGCCCAAACCCCCTCCTGTTCTTCCAGAACCTGTCACCCTCTACAGGGATTCAAGGGCCACTGACCCAAACACTACCTTTGTCTCTCTGTAGACATTCTACAGGAAATCCTCCTCAAGGAACAGGAACTACAGCCAGGGATCCTAGGAGATGATGAAGATGAGGAGGAAGAGGAGGAGGAAGAGGAGGATTTGGAGACAGATCAGCATTGTGCTGAGAGAGACTCGCTGCTCTCCACCAGCTCTCTGGCATCTCACGACTCCACTCTGTCACTCACCTCCTCCCAGGCCTCAGGGTCAACACTCTCCAGCCAGGTGTTGACCACCTTCGTCTCAGGTCTCTCAGATGGCATGGACAGTGGCTATGTGGAGGACAATGAGGAGAGTTCCTCAGAGTGGACCAAGAGGCCTGGCAGCCGGGAACACAGGGGCCACCGCAGGCCAGGGCAGAAGTTCAACAGGATCTATAAACTCTTGAAGAACACCAGCCAGCTGGTCTTGCGAAGGGACTCTCGGAGCCTGGAGAGCAGTCCAGACCCAACTCTGCCCCTGCGGCGGGCAGGAAGCCTCTGCAGCCCCCTGGACTGTCCAGCTCAGCTCCCTTCCCGGGCCCAGCGCTCTCGCTCCCTGCCTCAGCCCAAGCTCAGTACCCAGCTGCCCAGCTGGCTCCAAGCACCCCCCTCACGCCACCAACGCCGCCGCCCCTTCCTCAGTGGGGATGAAGACCCCAAGGCTTCCACACTACGGGTTGTGGTCTTTGGTTCTGATCGGATTTCAGGGAAGGTGGCTCGGGCATATAGCAAGCTCCGGTAAGGACTGAAATGGGGTGCTACAAGGCTATCAGGTTGGTGGAATCTGGACCCTGCACAGGGTCTTGGAGCCCTCATAAGTTCACTTCTCACCTACTTCTCCCCAGGAGGCTGGAGAACAGTCACCCACTCCTCACACGGTTCTTCAAGCTTCAGTTCTTCTATGTGCCTGTGAAGCAAAGCCATGGGACCAGCTCTGGTGCCTGCCCATCCCCTGTGAACCGGACGTCCCCACTCCCTGCTGACTCCCTGAGGCACACTAACCCTGCAGTATGTCCCCAACCTTGGGCCAAATGGGGTGGGAAAGTGGAATGAACAAGAGTGGGTGCCTGAATGGAAGTCATTCCAAACAATTACCTGTGTCTTTGGGCACCCCCCCCGCCCCCACCAGACCTTCACTCCCAGGTCTCTGCCCTGCATTGGGTATGACATTCTGCCATCTGACAAAAACAAAATGCCATCATACTTCTCCAGGGACAGAGAGAAGCTCAGCTTGGGGCTGCAGGTGTGGTCTCCTGTACCACTGCTATAATGGACCAGGTTCTTGGTGGCTGGGGATGACTCTTGTCCCTTTCCCCAGGAGCTGGGCACAACCCCATGGGAGGACAGTACCAATGACATCTCTCACTACCTCGGTATGCTTGACCCCTGGTATGAACGCAATGTGCTGGGCCTCATGCACCTGCCTCCTGAAGTCTTGTGCCAGGTAAGGGGCTGCTGGAGTGAGGATCAGAGCCCACTGGCTGCTGTCATTTAGCCACAGTTTGAAGGCTCTGTGTTTGGGGAATCCATGGAAGACCAGCGATGGCTTGGAAAGGGAGGAGGGCAAGTAGGAAGTAGGATGGAGCCTGAACAGAGGGCACTGGGGGCAAGAGCTGTGGCCACTGTGGTGAAAGGGATGGGGGATCATCAGAAGGGTGCAGAGGACCTTAGATGTCAGCTCCTTTCCTCAAGTCTTAGTGTGTCTCTGTGGAGGCCCATGTAGGCTTCCCTGGGCTTCTTACCCAGTTCCTCCTCCAGGTTCCACCTCACCTTCTCTCTCTTTCCAGCTCTAGCTGCCTCTTAACTGCTCTTCTCTCTATCTCTCTTTGTATCCTTGCCTCTTCTCCTCATAGGGCATCCTTCCCTCCGGCTCTCTGCCCCCCACTCATCCTCCCTCTGGCTTTGCTCTCCCATCCACCACAGCAGTCCCTGAAGGCAGAGTCCAGACCCCTGGAGGGCTCCGCAGCCAAGCTGCCCATCCTGGCCGACATGCTGCTCTACTACTGCCGCTTTGCTGCCCGCCCAGTTCTGCTGCAGGTCTACCAGACAGAGGTGAGGTTGCTGTATTGGCCCACTACCACCACCTTCTTCCAGACTCCCTGGCAGCCATGGTCAGCATGGCCAGGTCCTAGCCTGTTCCCTGCAGTACCCCACTGTCACCCCCTGGCATTCCCCATGCTGGCCCAAGAGGTCCACACTGATGCACATGCTCCTGCTCTCTCCAGCTGACCTTCATCACTGGGGACAAGACCACAGAGATCTTCATTAACTCTCTGGAGCTGGGTCACTCGGCTGCCACACGGGCTATCAAGGCTTCAGGTGGGCTGCAGGAACTCTGATGGAGATGGTTAGGAGGGGTGGCCAGAAGGGTGAGGGGCCAGTGGAAGATGGGGTACTGTGAATGGGGGCACAGGGAGGGCTCAAGGAAGGTGGAAGTTGGCGTGCAAAGGGAGCCCTGACTCTGGGGAGTTGGAGCCCTGAGAAGACTGGGCCAAAGGGAGGGCGTACCCAGGGAGGAGGGACCATGTGGTCTGTGGGAGTACTGGGAAAAAAAGGGAGTAAAGAATGTGTCTGTGCGGCACAGGTCCTGGCAGCAAGAGGCTGGGCATTGATGACGACCGAGAGGCCGTCCCTCTAACACTACAGATTATTTACAGCAAGGTATGTAAGACCAGTACTCAGCCTCTTCCAAGCTGGGGTCTGCTGCTGACCATCCCTCCACTAGAGTTGGGCCCAAGGCTGACTCTAGTGTTCTGAGGCCTGTAGCAGACAACCAGACTTCCCTAGGTGCTGAAAGAAAGCGGCCCATTCGCCTGCAAGGGGTCTCCCAAGGGGTCTCTGGGCTGAAGGGTCTGTCTGTGCTACCTTCCAGGGAGCCATCAGTGGGCGAAGCCGTTGGAGCAACCTGGAGAAGGTCTGTACCTCTGTCAACCTCAACAAGGCCTGCCAGAAGCTGGAGGAGCTAGGTGAGCGGGGAGGAGGAGGATGGTTGGGGGATTTGGCTGGGAGGTCTTGAGCCTGACCTGACCTACCATCACCTCCAGACTCCAGCATGGAGGCCCTGACGCTAACCCTGACAGAAGTGGTGAAAAGACAGAACCCCAAGTCCAAAAAGGGCTTTAACCAGGTAAGGCTCCCTTCTCCTTCCAGCCGTAGCCCAGGAGGCATAGCATGTATGTGTGTGCGTGCGTGCGTGTGTGTTTTGCATGTGTGTGTGAGAGAGAAACAGAGAAGAGACGTTTGCAACAGGGCCTGTGGCTAGAAGAGGAAAGGCACATGAGGAATGTGATCCTGGGTATACTCAGATATATGGAGTATAGTGAGTATGTGTGTGTGTGTGTGTGTGTGTGTGTGTGTGTGTGTGCGGGTGTGTGTGTGTGTGTGTGCGGGTGTGTGTGTGTGTGTGTGCGGGTGTGTGTGTGTGTGTGTCTGTGTCTGTGTCTGTGTGTGTAAAGGTTGTTTGGTGGTCACTGGGAGTCACTGAGTCTGAAGCAGTGTGGGGTCCACATCAGGGGTCTCCCATGGAGATGGGCAATGTAGTCTCCTCAGATGCATTTGCTTCTTCTAGATTCAGGAAGGGGCAGAGGCCACAGAGGAAGCAGGACCTTATAGAATTTTCAGGGTCCCTCCTCTGATCTGACATTTAGCCCTGAAGAGCCACCAGCCAGTCTTGTCCCTCATTTCCCCAAACCTGATGGGCAGTTCTAGGGAAAGTAAGAACCCAGGACTGGCAGATTGGTGTGGACAGGTGCCTGACTTGGGGCTCCCTTTCAGATTAGCACGTCCCAGATCAAAGTGGACAAAGTGCAGATCATCGGCTCCAACAGCTGTCCCTTTGCTGTGTGTCTGGACCAGGATGACAGGAAGATCCTGCAGAGTGTGGTCAGGTGGGAAAAGGGGGCCTAGCTCTGTCACGGCAAAGGTGGTGCCAGGGAAGGGTCCTGTTTCTGTGATCCTACCTGAAGCCTGCCCTTACCTTGCCCTCCCCTACAGGTGCGAAGTATCACCCTGCTACAAGCCAGAGAAGAGTGGTCTGCCGCCCCAGAGGCCCTTTGGTCAGCCAGCACAGGCTGGGCCTGACCTGTGCTCCCTTCTCTGCCTCCCCATAATGACTTTCAGTGGAGCTCTCCCCTAGCACATCTGGGTACCAGGCTGGACAAGAAAGCATGCAACGTCTCCTAGACCATTCTCCAGAGCAGCCACTCTCTGTGGAGAACTGAATGGCCCTGGGCTGGGTCAGGATCCCTTTGTAGGTCCTGCCATGGGCCAAGGATTTGTGATGGTGTCTGGAGCCTCAGATCTGAAGAGGAAACAGCTATTAGGGAGAGAATCGCTGACCACCTGGCCTTGCAGATGCCTCTGAGAGAGGGAGAGAGGTGGGCTAATAACCCCTAAGGGAAGGTCTGAGGCTTTTCTGTGGGTTAGGCCTCCTTTCCCAGCCCTGGGCTGGGATAACCTTTGGTTTAGCAAAGAGAGAGTCTGTCAAGAGGTCAGTCTTTCTAAGACACAGGCGGGAGAAACCTGGATGAGATTTTCCTTTCCTGACCTCCATCTCCTTATCCTACCACTACCACCATGTGTGTGTACACACCAGCACACTGGCGTGCTTTCTCTCTTAAGTTCCCTAGGTCCCTTGATTAAAAAGCACTAATATTTGTCTCATTGCCAGGAACTGGTACAGTTTCTCTCTTGAGCCCCTTTCTGGATCTGAGATGCAAGGGAGACAGGACAGGCTCTGTTCTCTTTTAGCTAAAGAAATAGGGGAAGTTAATGAATTTCTTCAAGTCTCCATTTTCTGAGCACTAAACTGGGAAGGAAGTCCTCAAAGGGTTGTAAAGGAAGTGCCATTGAAGCACCTTGCCCAATGCCTCCCAGCAGGTGCCCAGGAAAGACTGGTGCCTTGCCCCCTGAGGCTGACTCCCTGTCTTTGCCCTGGGGTGCAATCACTTCCTCATCTATGGATGAGGCAGAACCCATGAGAGCTAAGCACTGGTCAGGAAGGGCCACCTAGGTATGTACCCTCCCCCACTCCCTTGTAGACTGGTCCTAGTGCCCTTACTTGCTCTAACTTGGTAGACTAGTGCACATTGTATGCAGAAACCTGTGTCCCCACAAGTTCACTGGAGAAGATCTCAGAGGAGTAGAGGCAGAGAACTTGGTCTTATGAGCTAAAGGCCTGATGGAGACACAGGATTCAGGCATGATAGAACAAGAACCAAAAGTTTAAACCCACCATGCTAGAAGGGTTTGAGGAATTGAGAAAATGTAGCTACGGTGATAAGATGGCAGGGCTGGGAGAAGTGGGGAAGGACCCTTGAAGTATAACGAGTCACGCATGGAGCCCCCTTCTGGACCTCCTGAACTGTCCTGCTCTAAAGGCTTTGGGCTTAGAGGAGTTCATGAAATTCCAGTCCAGAGTACCTGTGACTTGAGAGAAGGAGGACAGAGCCACTGTGTGGTAATTTTCCCCATCCTAACCATCTGTATCTTCTCCAGGATCAGTCATGTATTTCCATGTCCTTCAACCTGCTGTGTGAGCATGTTGTTCTATTGTGTGGTCAGCATGACGAATCAACGAATGAAATTTAATATTATTTTCAAATAAAATTGATTTATCTTATAGTTAACAACTTAAAGTCGTGTTGGTGTATATCAGTGAATTGTTCTGTGGCGAGTTTTCATGTATCATTCCAAGACTGGAGAGATAGCCCAAAAGGTGAGCTCTTCCAGAGGATCTGAGTTCAGTTCCCAACACCCATATCAGACACCTCACAACTGCCTATAACTACAGCTCCAAAGGCTCTGATGTCACACCCATGTGGCATTCACTCACACAGACACAAACACACATACACATAAAAATAATAAAAATAAAATTTAAAAACATCATTTTGTGCACAGTAGAAGTAAGGTTCTTGGGGGATTGTTTTGCGTATTCATAATTGTCCACTCTATAGAACATTTATGCTGAATTTTCCCTAACACTCTTCCATGTCAGTCTCATCAAACACACTGACCCACAAAACAAAAAAATTCTATATAACTCTGCAGTTGAGGTTTCCTGTGGCACTTCACTTGAGAAACACCTATTCACCTATCCAGCTGTTTTTTTGCTGCAAGCCCTGGAGAGGAGATGGGCCTGAGGTCTTCATCACTGATAAGAGAGGACCTGGACCCTCCATACAAGGGAGAGGAAGGGAAGAGGGATCAACAGTGGTTCTTCAGACCTAGGGACTGCCTTTAGACTTCATTCATAGAGAGGGAGGAAGAGAACATGTTGGGCAGTAGAAGACACCAGTTCTAGCATCCCAGAACAGCTACTTTGGATGGGAAGAATGCTCTAAAGATGCTGCAGTTCCACATCAGCAGGCTGTCACCAGTAATGAAGCAACCAGAAACTCGGTGGGTTACAACTGTTTAGGTTGAGCTTAGTGTGGCTTGGTTCCAAGCAGTGGGCTGAGAACAGGTCTTCTCTGTGGGTCTCTTGGGCATCTTGGGCCAGCATGCTAGAACAGGATGTGCAATCCTGGCCACCTCACCACATCTACAAGCCTCCTCTCCTCCCTACCCCTAAAAGGAGAGACAGGTCTATTCTCAGGGGCCTTGTGGGGTTTCTGGGAGGAAGTATGTAAAAGGGATCATGTTGCTGACACTATTGTCCAGGAAACCTGTCTGGCCCCAGGGGTGCTGTGAACTGTGCAAGTTAAAGCTTTGGCTTGCTGAGCTAAAGGAGGGCTTTGAAGTCTTCCAGAAGAGGAGTCTCCAGAAACAATGCCTGAGCCCCATTTGTTCTCAAGTGGCTGGGCTTCCTGCAGGAGCCTGAACCAAGTGGTCCATCAGCATCCCCCAGCTCTTCCTGAGAGCCATGCCCTGACTCTCCCATGGCCAGGGCCCTACAGAGGCCCTAGGCAAGGAGGGCCTCAGCTCCTCAGACTGCTCAAAGCACAGACAGCAGAGGCATGCCCAGGTACCTTCACACATAGGAAATGCTATGTAGATCGGAAGATGCTCAGGTCCCTTGGAAAAGGACTTCCTGAGTCCAAGGGGGAGGGGGCAGGGGAGGATTTGCTCCCTCCTTTCCCCACATTTCTGATTCTCTTTCTTTCCCAAACCCTTCCAGTAAAGTCAAGAGTATAGAAAATTAGCCTTCTAGGGACAAAGTGTCCTCTGCCTTTCTCTGAAGGCAAAGCATGCAGTTGGCTCTGTCCCCAAGCACAGTTTGTTTCGCTCTGTTCTGCTTGTAGGCACACTAAGTGCCACAGAGATTGAGCGGTTGCTAGAAAGGCAGCCATGGCCACAGCTACCCCATGTGCCCCTCTGAGAGATCTGGGAAGTTAGGGGTGGAAGTTCAGCTTCTTAGCCACTTAAAGCAGTTCCTCTCAGTGAATGTCAGCCAGGTTAAACCCACCTCTACAACACTTCCCAGTACTTAGTCTGTACTGGCCAGGTGTCCTGGGCTTCCCACACTCATGGTAGTTCACTTATGCCTTTTCCCACCCTGTGTTTGGCACTATGTCCATTCTACAGGGGGAGAGACTAAGATGCAGGTCACAGAGACAGTAAAAAGAGGAAACCAGGATTCAAGCCCAGATAAAGGGCTCCTGAGTATCTGTACTTAGATATTAAGCTGTGTGACCCTCTCAACTCCTCACAAGGGTGGTGGATAAACCAAATCCCAGAAACACAAAGTTCACACGTGTGTCTGAGGATAGCTTCATTGAGATGGATTTTGGGAGGAACTCTGGTCTCATAAGGAAGGGATGTTCTGCACACCCTCAGGGTGGTGGGAGTAGGCTGGGGGAAGGAGTAAGGGAGGGGAAGCCTTGGTGGGAAGCACAGGCAAATCTGTGCTGCCTACTGCTGAGGGAACAGTGGGCAGGAAAGTAGTCTGAGTGTAGCTTCAGGCTCTGAAGATGACTTGACATAGTCCCCTGAAGCCTGGTAAGGGGTAGAGAGGAAGGAAGGGCACGGAGAAGTCCTGCTCCACACATCTCAGGAAAGGGGCCTTTATGGCCAGGGGCCAGAGGTCTTCTCTGGGCAAAACTGGTTCCCTCTCTCTCTCTC